CTTAAATCGGTTATTGTACCCTAAGTCTTGATAATGGGTCTTCTGTCCAGTCGGTGCCTCCTAGATAACTATTTCTAAGCTATCAGAGATAGCTCGATCTGGCTATCTAGGAGCTATCATGATTCACCAATTAGGATATTTAAAAAAATAAAAATTGAATTAATATTATTATTATTTGTTACGGATTAAATCCATTCCGTAACTCTTCAAAACATTTTCAGTTACCCTCCTGGTTGTTTCATGTCTTCCTTTAATGAGGCCTAGATCCTAGACAGGTATTATTAGAGGATGATCCTCTAAATATCAGAATGCAAGTGCACTTTCAGCGTGATCTCTCGCTCATTTCGCTTGTGAGGCTTTTAGATAAAAGATTTTCAATTCCTTGGATTCATCGCGGTGCACACTTGGGCCAGCCTATAGGTTGCTTGGACTTCGGCATTAAATTACTCGGAAAACGAAATAGACGGCTCAAATTTGGCTGGTTTTTGTTTTTAAGGGTGATGAATTTGTAGTCAAGCCATTTAGATAAAGATACGCCAAATTTTAACGTTTGTTTTTCGTCTCGATTTCCATATGGATGCGGTGGTCCAATTTGTTGGCCTTCAAGATCCCCAGACCTCACAGTACTAGATGAGGCTGGTTCAGCAATGAAATATACAAAGTAAAAGTAGATGTACTAATTCAATGTATTAAGAATGCTACAGGCGTCAACAGAGGAAGATATGAAACGATTGAGAGGGCAATTTTCGCGATTCATAGAATAAGCCTAAAATGTTTAGAAATCAATTGTAATATGTTTGGACATTTATCAAAATAAGGTTTCGATAGCCAAATTCCTAATAGATTTATCAAATATTAGGTTATAATTGGAAAAATTCCAAACCACATAGCCTTAAGTCCCAAAAATGCATGCATAGAAAGAAACCCGTCAACGTTTCTCCATTTGAGGCATCATCTGGACGGAAAAGAACAGCAAATTGATCACCCCATGACGTCCAATCGCATACTATATATCTTTTCTGTTCTGGTGATGTGTGACTTGGCGAAATGTTGGGTTGTGTTTCTTTCTTTGCCTGCACTTCGGGGACATGAGACAGTGTGATTTGGAGTTTTTCAATTATAATCTAACATTTATGTTCTGTCTTTTGGTTAATTTGAAAATGAAGATCAGATATAAGCATATGAGCTGTCAATTTTTTTCTATGAGCAACCAACGCCTGTAGTTTGGCACGTTCCTCCAAACTCACCCAATATATACTGTTTCGATTATACTTTCTTAAAGTATTCTTCTTGGAATACCATACATACATAAAAAAATCTGGTGCGCGCAACACACAACTTTCACTTACCGATCTATTTTGAATAGAAATTATTTTCTGGCAATGCTGGGCTATTATAAAATTTTTTGAAGTGCATTTTAAACGGAGCTAAAGCTTACAGATAACAAATCATTAAGACCATTATAATTACAAAATGTCTATTTAATATATCGACAGCAGGCAATAAAAATCTATTCACTCTATCTGCTTTTATAATCCACAGAATTACTAACTCCAATTTCAACATTTTTGAGTGATGTCATTTTAGTGATATTTTTAGTTGAAAAAGTTATCAATGCAGACAATGGGTATGTTGATTCAAGAGATGGTGATTGCAGTGTTGAAATATAGAACTGAGAATAAAAGTATAAATATACGTACTACTTTCTTATGAAAGATGTTCTTAGGAAAGACACTTTATTAAATATCTGTAGAAAAAAGGTTTTTTTAGTCTCAACAATTAAAAAAATATATTTTAAATTTATGCAAATTTTCACCTTTTCAGGGAAAGAACTAGGGACCATATCTTTCCTCCTAATTGTCCGATTTTAACGATTTTTTTTTTGTATTTTTAGGAAATTCCATAAACTTTAAAAAAACGTACAATATCAACAAAAAAGCGTATACTTTTTGAGTTATTCGTAATTTAATTGTAACATCCCTCGTAACTTTTTTTTCCAGCTTCTTTTGTTAAAGTATGTTATATAGATAAATTTAAAGGGTATCGAGAAAATGACTTTAGCGAAGTTTCATTGAAATCGGTACATTCGTTTAGGCGCTACAGTCTGTAGGAACGCAGGTTTTTCTGCATTTTTATTTTTTTTTCTCCTTTATTAATTTATCAAATTCTTTCAAAAGTTATATGTAGCATTTTTTCGTAACTTTGAATAATGCGAAATGGTTAACTTTTTAAAATAAACCATATTACAGGTAGCTTTAGAGGAAGACATATATGAACATTGGGCATTTAAGTCCTGTAAAGTGACATCAACGGGGATAAGACCTAAATGATATTAAAGACCACTTAATTATACAATGATACACCGAGTTTGATCAAAATGGTTACAGTCGTTTTGAGAAAATTGTAAAAATGTGTTTCAGCGTTCATATAAAGTGGCACTTCCGGTTAGCCGATTTCAACGAAAAAGTTGCTGTCACATCCGGCCGATATACAAACCTTAAATACTTAATATCAGTTTCGTACTACTTTTCGTTTATGAGCTAGACTGTTAACTCACACACACACACACACACACACCACACACACACACACACACACAGACCATTTTGCGACACTGGGTTATTTGAACTCAGGGGACCTCAAAACATGTATTTCCGTTGAAAACTGAGATTCGAAAATTTTCACGATCGCAATACTTACCCTTACTGTATATTACATATATACGTAAGTGAAAGTAAAAGGTGCGATGGATTCAAAATATTATTTATTATTTAATAAAAAAAAACTTCTGTTCATAAAGAATAGAAATGAAGAGTGATTTGTCTCTGATTAGTTTTCAAAATTTAGACTTTAATTTAATGCATTAATATAGGCTTCCGGAATTACTAACGTCAACAGAGTGTCACATTTAATATGAAATCTAATATCATAAGCTGTCTGATATCCCATGTCCGTTCGGAATGATGCATCTTGGGTCAAAAAATATTGGCCTGAAAAAACTGGATTCATTCGGGGGAGAACTAATTTGTGCATAGCTGCATATTTTTTCTTTCCAATCAGGCTCTAGAAGACATGAAAACAAAAATATAAACCTCATTGGCAATATCCAGTACTTGTATTTTCCTATCTCATCCGATAGAGATGCTCAGCAGCTGTGGGATTTAGCATATTCATGAGGCGATATGTTGCATAAATTTATCAGCCTTCGATCGCATCCCCTTATCACATTCCATCATGCATAAATTTCATCTTCGTTTCATTTAGAGCTATTTAATTATTTTTTACCAGAAACGCCTAATAGACTTCTTCCCAAACTGTTTAAAAATTCCCTGTATACTATAAATGTATAATGTGGTATGGCATAATTAAGAAATTTATGAATGACAAAGAGATCCTTTGCTAATTTCAGCATAATCATTAACAACGTGTCAATATATGGGACGATTATAAAAAGTCATGCCTAAATATTTCTTTCTTCCTTGATACACTGAGTTAATCTTAACAAAGGCTATTATCGAGTAAGGAGATGGTCCGTGGTGGCAGTCATAAAAATATTGAAATAGTGAAAAAAACTATTCCAGTATTTTTATGACCGCCACCCCGGCCCATCTACTTACTCAATAATATTCAACGGTGATCAGACATTCAAAGGCTATCATCATTATAGTAAAATCTAAAATTTAAATAAATGTATTATCAAAGTTTATTTTAAGCTCATTGAAGGGGCAATATTTATTTTGTTATTTTTCATCGAAGTCTGTATGAGCATGACCGAATTTTGACCAAATAATAGCGATATTACAACTAGCAAATAAGCGTAAATGACACAATAGAGCACGAAAGAGACAGTGTTCAATAGTTTATCCTTCGGGTATGGAATTAGCTGATGTGACTGGTTTAGATTTCAAATTCAGCTCCTTTTAAGCGGATTGTGGTATATTAAGCATGAATGGGCGATAAGTCAATAATGGTGTTGTGTTTCGAGTATTAACGCCCGTATCTGAGTGCCCCAATAGAAGCATAAATCCATCTAGATGTGCGAACGAAACTACTAAATCAATATTTAATATGGTACTGGACCATTCAAGGGACATCATATGCCTGTATGATTGTTGTTACATACAAAAATCATATTTTAATCCATAATTATGATTTTTTAATAAACTTGACCTATTAGTATTCGATAACGAAAATATTTATGTTGATTGTAGTTTCAAAATACTTCAATATATACGATTGAGACAGAAATGTTGAAGTTGACTGGATTATACAGCTTTTAGAGATTTTGGTATGCGTTAAGTCCCTCAAGAATAACAATATATTACAGAAAACAAATTTCTGGTAAGAAGAATTGTTACATTAAAAATAAATAGACAAATAAAAAACCTTAAGTGAACTAACAATATTTAAAAAAATAAACTAATGAAACTTTTTGCAAAATACTTAAAACTATCTACAATAACTTATAAGAAATAAAACAAGATATTAATAAGATAAACAAGAAGTAAAAAAAAAAAATATGATAAAACTTAATTTTTTTTAAAATATCTAAAATTCTCAGTAATTTATTTTATTTACTAATCTCAAACAGTTCATGCTGACGATGAAATGCTATTTCAAGTTAGAAACAAGATTTGTCCTTTGAAATTTGGTCTAAGATTTGCATTAACGGTATAATAGACCAATGTTTTCGTCTTCCATTTTTAAGAAACTCGAGGATTCAGTGTGGCATCCATCTAATATTCGACAAAAAAATGTTATCCTTATTAAAATGTGAGTAGAGTTGCTGTAAAGAACTGATGTAAAATTGTTGTCCATGCCTGTCTTAGGATGATCCTGCGGGTTATACTTCGTTGCCGTATTATTATAACATGATTAAAAGTCCAAGACATTAATAATTAAAAGCTATGTAAAAAAATGGAAGATTTTTCTGAAATTAGTAGACTCGAAATATTAAAATATATGCAATTAAATCTAAGTAAGCCAAAAAAAGTACTTACCGTTCTTCTTATAAAACTTGACTTCTAACTTGAGCTCAGTCTTGGATTGGAGGCTGTTCTCTATGCGACTCTTGTCTTCGTCGCTGGTCTCAGGGCCGTAGAGGAACCTGCAGGCACAGGATTTCTGCATGATCTGCGCCCTTGGCCAACCAGTTAGCTCACAGAAGCCGTCAGAGCAGTACACAATCGGGTGGAGAGTCGGCACTTGGGCGTTACCCAGCACGAAGTTACTATCTGCAACACAATCGTGCTTAGGTTAAACGTTATTGTAGCTTAATATGATATTTAAAAATATATTTATTTATGATAACGAAGTATGGTCTTGAAATCAAGACTAATCCAAGATATATACTAAATAAGGTATTATTCTGTAATGAGGAAACAGGTAACATGAGGAAGAAACACTTTGTAGAAACACTTCTTGATCATTTTTGAGATCTAAACATTGAAAGTGCCTTGGATGTGCCGGATATAATAATTCCCCGATGGACCAATGTCAAACCCACTATAGATACCTCAATAGCCAGACATAAAAATGATATGGCACTTCCAGTTGATGTTCAAAAATTATTTTTAGAAAATTTGGAAAAATACAAGGAATGTAACATCTTGTATAACGATGCTTCAAAAACAGATAAGGAAGTAGGATGTTCCGTTATAAATTCTAATATTCAAACTTCCGGAGGCTTGTTCAGTGTTTAATGATGAAATATAAGCAATTAGACAATCTCTTAAACACAAACAGACAGGTGAAACTACCAATTGGGCAGTAGTGACAGACTATGAGTTCATTACAATCCATTGAACAAGGCTCGAAACCACTCTCGAAAAGATGTAAGAAACGTTTGGTGGCTACTAAGAGAGAAGGGCAAAGAAGTATGTGTTTATTTGGGTCACTTCGCATTGCGGGATCATCGGTAATGAACAAGCCGATCAAGCAGCCAGAACATCCCTCACAGGATCCAACATCATTCTTGAGGATTGCATAAAAATAATTAATGAGAGTGTGTGGAACTTGTGGCAAAACAAGTGGGAACAAAAAGAAGCGAAATTATAACCCACTGTTAAAATGAGAAACCTCTTACCGATCTTCTAAAAAAGAAGAGACAGCCCTTTGAAGATTACAAATTGGACTGCCCTATATTTGAAACTGCAAGGAAAAAATTATATGTTGAACAGAGCCTAAATGAAAATCTACAAGACAGCGAAAGTGCACTTAAAAAAACTTTATGATTCTTAAAAGTGATAAAATTCTACAACAGAGTGTAATTTGAAGGTGTTGCCAATAACCCTACAGGGTAGAGGGAACACAACAATAAGTAAATAGAAATAGAAAAATCATCTTTATTCTGGGACTAGGTCCCTTTAGAATAACAGTATTGTTCATATATATTAACTACAAACTTCTGGTCAAAAGACTTATTACAATGAATAATGACAAAATACATGTAATACATTAAGTATTAATTAAGCTCTCAGGATAAATTAACGAGGACAGTTGGGTAATAGGGGTTCAGTACTACAATATTGGAGCTAAAATAATTGCATAATAATCACTGAATGAAATTAGAAAGGAAAGTAAAATCTATTTTATAGGTAAAGCATTGTAGTGATGGAATATAAAAATTAAAAAAAATAATAATAACTGTTAATATGTAGGGAAAGAAATTGTAAAAACGGCTTTCTTCTGCCTTGCGAGCCAGTAGAGGTGCCTATTCTTAGGGGTCATCTCCTCGCCGAGATAGATACGATGGCAGTCATTCTCCTGCCAGCCGATTTCCCACGTCGAGAAGTCCCGCTTTACTTTTCGTTTCTGCACCAGGTCGTCCCTCACTGACTGCCTGACAAATCGTGCGATGATGGGCGGTGGTCGCGGGTCGTCCTTCTTTGCTCTTCGATGCTGTACAGTGTCCAGGTCATCAATATTGAGCTTGATTCCCAGGCCAGCCCCAATAATTGTAACCAGGGCTGCAGGGGTCTCACCCGCTCGAACCGGAATGCCCCGAATCTCAAGCGATCTATTAAGAAGGCCTTGCTCCGCTTTATTTAGCCTGACCTCCAATTCACCTACCTTAGACTTGAGGGCTTTATTTTCAGATATAATTTCCTCAAAATGTTTCGCTTGTCCCTCTAAATGGTTCTAAATTTTTGTTAACCTTGCATTTAATTCAAAGGTCTGGTCTCCGTATTTGTCCAGCGCTGTTTTAATATTTTTTATTTCGGTGTTAACATGTTTTTCAACCCGCTGTACTGCCGCCAGAATTTCTGACGGTGTTGGCTCGGTGCTGCGACTTTGCTTCGGGTTTTCACCACCTGCTGCAAACTTTTTTGCTTGATCACAACTGTTACATGTCCCTACTTTATTCGATGATTTTTGAGCCTCGAACTCTTTATCGCTAAGTTTACAGCATCTGCTATGAAATAATAATTTGCATTTAGCGCAACATAAAATATTTTTTTCTTCACGACTGATGGTGCTGCTGCATACCGGGCATTGAGCCATATTAATATGAAGTAAATAAAGTTTACTTACAATATAACACGATGTGTTGTTAAGATCCCTAAGCCCAACAGCAGTGCTTAATCCTACAGAGCACAGTTGTTTATCACAGTCCCGTGGCTTGTAATAGTTTATATTACTTAAATACGTTCACTTTTCGAGGAACCGTGAGGAAATACGAGCTGTTAATTTTATCTATGGTTATAGATTTAACGAGATAAAAAAGAAAGAAAAAAAAAATTCAAAAATCAACGCAACTTAAACGAAATAAAACACGTGATAATACAGAGGATGTTAACTGATGGCTGTCTCTGACCAGATAAATATATTTTTGTTTGTTAAGTTTTATTGGCGTATTTCTCTTTTTGGAAAAATTGATTAAAAAAGTAGTAAATTCGAGTAAAAGTTATTAGGCAAAAATTTGTTGTTGATGAAGAGATCTAACTAAGCAGTTGGATAGAATGACTATAAAATGCAAAGACAAAATAAAAAACAACATGACCAAGTTTGTGTTTGTTTTAATTGTAATTAAATTCAAGACTAGAGCAACATGGTTGTGATATTTCACCGATGTTTTTTTTTCAGTAACCCTTTTTATAAAAAAAGAATTTTTCTTTTGATTTCATTCAGATTTAGCAATAAACTCTGCATTGATATATTACCTTTAATTCATGGTGTTACAAATAAATAACTAAAAACAAAATTTTTGAATAACATTCATTTCCACATAGATCAAAATTCTTAGAAATAAGTTTGTCCTAACCGACGCACAGTGGTCTACCTTCTTTGTATCTTTATTTTTATGTTAAAAAATTAACTTATTATTAATTTTTATTAGCCTGACAACTGTATATCTATAGCGATCTAATATACCCATGCTAGTGTTGCCCAAAATCGATCTTGGTCTTGCAGGACCAAGACCAAGACCGCCCAACTGTTGCAAGACCAAGAAAGTTAAAACAATCGATTTTATGAATAAACATTAAGCCAAAATAGTTACTTATAATTGACAATTTTAGTTACTATATGTAAAGAATTGCTACACTAATATACATTTGCATTTAACTCTTCTAATTTTAGTTCTAATTCTAATTTAATAACTCTTCTTTCAGGTTTAGTTAGGTTTCTCCTATCAAAAAAATTACAGTAACATCTCTATAGTGATAAGCTAATAGGTAACTGCAAGGCTGTTGTGAGACTCTTGTGCAAGACCAATATTCGTCTTGGTCTCGCATTTGGGCAACACTAACCCATAAATGTATTGATTTTGGTGCCCCTAGGACAGTCGTTTATGTACTGAACGAGTGCCAAAATCTACAAGACAAAAACTAAACATAAACGAGAAATATTAAAATATTCAGAAATCTCTATTGAAATACCTAAAAAGAATAAAATTTAACAATAATCAAACACACGAAATGCCAACTACCTTTCAGAGTAGAGGCATTCCAACAATAAACAAATATAAGAAATTCCTAAAAATCGACATAGACTTAAATATAAAATGGAGTCATACCTTTTTATTAGTAGACGCATTTATAAAATGTTCATATAGGTTAAAAAATATAAATCGTAAAAATGAAAAAAATTAATTTATTATATAATACTGGAGTGCTACCAATGGGTAGTTTCTCCTCATGTTGTACATGTCATATTTACTTGTTGTATTATTATTAATTACAGTTGTAAATTTCGTTAATAAAAAAAAATAATTATATAATATAGACGATTGAATGTATCTGTGTCCCTGAGTTAAAGGACACCTTGTCCATTTTATTTATTTAATAATTTTGTAACTAAGAACAAATTTTAATATCACAAATTTATGGATGATTGCACCCCAAACAAACATAAAAATGTGAAAGGGCCTACTTTACCTCCGGAGTACAGATTTATTATATAATAAACAAATTTTAGTGGCTCAAAGTTATGAAAAATAGACGCCCCTGAACTAATACAAAATGTGACATAATGTCCTTTACCTCCGGACATCAGATATTATTTATAAATACTTCTTGATAAGTTTTGATTAGCAGTTCTAGACTATTTGCTCAACTACTCCGCTGAATAAAATTTAATATTATCCTTTTATTAATGGATGAAAAAACTAATAAATCATTTTAACAATTTTTTGGAGACTATTTTAAAAACGTACCCTACATTATTTTTTTTTTTTTTTTTTAGAAAAAGAGGGGTCAATGTAGCTGTGCGGGGCGGGTGGGAGAGGGGACAAGAATGGGAACAAACGATGGTGGACTGACAGGGAGGATGATCCATGGACCAGATCACTCCCGTTCCATGGACCAACATTAATTTATGAAACCGGGCTCTTGTAATTTGCATGGCATTCATCACCGCCTCCAGGTCCTGGATAATTTAAAATTCTACCCTCTCAAGATGGATCGCTCCGCTTTTATCCTAGGCAGGGCTAACCATGTCAAAACCCTAAGCTTTGGATCTGGCGGTATCGTGTTACGTCCTATCTCCTCTTCGTAGTTGATCGATTTTCCGGTATTAAATTACGAAATCGTCAGCTCCGCCTACCTTGGGTATTGACCTACCGTTGTCCGATTTATCTATATGCAGTTCAACATAGAGAATGTATTATAGAAAAACAATTGGGTATTATA